TTGTGCCTTTAACTCTGAAAGACACAGATAATCTTATGTGATAATGTAACCAGGAATCCAGCCAATTCAAGATGTCGAGATGCTTCTGTCAAGCGGCTAACATTGTCTGTGGGAGAAATGACATCCAGAAGCAGTTTATCCCATTTGGTTTGTGGTACCACTAAATAGTGTAATTTCCAGACTCCCTCCTGTAAAAATCACATTTTTAAACTGTTAACATGTCCACATGGTGTGTTTTTAAAGCTGGATGCATACAAATATGTATCGCTTCCACTTTATATGATGATGATGTCTCGAAAACATGGATTCAAACTTGTGCGGTTTCAAACATAACAAACCTCAGGAACTACTTCTGTCAAGTGGCAGAGTGAAATCTCAGAAGCAGATATCTTCAGTCCTACGTGTATTGAACAAAAAGTAATACCCACCAGGCTGGATTCCAGTGGAGGTTAGTTAAGAACAAGGCTTTTTTTGTAATATCTGTGAATTAATTCTTTAAAGTCGCAGAACACAGTGGTGTGTTTACCAGCAACACATGACACAGTAACACCACAACTTCATATTTAGCACAAGTAGACCGTGAGACAGAGCAACAATGGACAGTAGACTGTACATCAGCCTACAACCAACAAGCCCTCCTCTTCAATACATGCATTCATGCAGTGCAGCAGCAGGCAGCAGTTTGCATGCTAAATCATCCAAGTCAATTAAAGAGTCTTCTCTCAGGCAGTAAATTGCCAGACTCTGATCTGCTGTTGACCTCAAATCCCAATCCAGACAAGCCTCTCACCACCACTTTGCAATCAGCGTTTCTCCTCTCCAATTCTGCAAAATGAGGGAACTTTAGCTTTCATCTTTTTCTTTTTCTTTTTTTTTTAACATGTCTACCAGTTTAACGAAACAAAACTTCAGTCTAGAATCTCACTTAAAAGTTTATCTCGTGAAAAATGTTATTGCATGTTGTTCCCAGAATTTGCACACATAGTTGGACGTGAATGAGTTTTAGATTTTTTTTTTATGTGTAGTTTCACTGTGCCAGGCATTTTAAAGGTGATCATAAATTTTCTGATTAACGTAAAGGAAACCTTCTGAACAGCAGCCAGCGAAGAAACAGCTGTTTTTCTCGGTGTTCAGATGTAAGCCACTCTCGCCTTCAAATGCAGGACTGGAGAGGCTCTGAGGCAAAACGCAGTGTGGCTATAATTGGCTCTGTGTGTGGATTGTGTGTGTGTGTGTGTGTGTGTGTGTGTGTGTGTGTGTGTGTGTGGCTCACTTCGAGCAAAATGAGTCAATCAGCGTAATTGTGCCAATTAAGTGTCCAAACATCTTCTGTGATCTACCTCTGGGTATGGGAGTGTTTCAACAAGCTCTTCTGCTCAGAGCCAAGCGGGCCTTCTCTGACGCACATGGAACTGAATGCAATTCCCATACAGCACCCTAAACACACACATACAAACCAACCTATATTTATTTATGTGTATGTTTGTATATATGACTGGCAGCAACTTTTATCAGACTCCCGGGGACCAAAGGTTTCCTCTGTGCTGCCAGGTTAAACGAATGGATTTCCGTCCATGGAGGTCTGCTCTTATCTGCACCGTGGCACCTCAGCTAATCTGAGACTGTCTGCTTTCCACCTTCCCTTTGACCCTCCCTCCCCTCACACAACACACTGGCACCTCGGGGCAGGATTGATTATGTTTCTCTGTCATGTGGACTTGCCTTTTCACTTTAGCCGTGCGGATGATGTTCCCATGCTTCTCCTAAAAGGAGGTGTGCAGGTGTATGCGTGTGACAGAGAAGAATGAAATGCTATTAGGGCATCAGGGTTTCAGATCAAAGACGCTGGCGGGTCAGACATGGGATGGGGAGTCTGCTGAGGATGTGTTTTTAAAGCTAATGGTTGTAATTCATGCCTGCCTCCTTAGGGGCTGATTAAGAAAGTGCAGTGTATTATATAAGTGCTTATAGTGTCTTCTATGAGTTTGTGAGAGTCTTATTTCAGATGGGACCATTATGTGTCGACAGGCATGAAATAGAGAAGAGGTGAGAGAAATAGAGAAAGGGTATACAATCCAATGTTTTGATGGTTGGACCCAGTTTTTCAACAGTATCCTCGGGCTGAACAAACAGGTGTCTGCCACCAATCTGGGTGGAGCAACAAACAGATCTGGGCTCATGATACGGTGTCCAGATTTCCTGGAAAACAAACCTGGTTTCTTCTGAACATGGGAAAATGTCTGGTTGTTTTGACGGCAGAATGGTTAAGAATAAATCAAATGTAACAAGATGAGCTTCTTCTTCACATTGTCACAGGCTGCAAGAAAGGGAGCAGTAACTGCTGGATATTGAGAGTAAAAGCTTTAAGTCGGGTAAACTCAAGTTCAGCCATGAAAAATCCTTCCAACGACATCTTTGTCAGGGCCTCATTCTAAGTGTAAAAAGCAAGGAGGAAACTCAGGATAGTGTTCTTGATAGGAAGAGAAAAGAAATGGAAACGCCCTTCACAACTTTGCACACAAAAGGAGAAATGGGATAGTGCAGCGCTGCAGGGCTTTTTCAAGATGCTACAATGAGGTGTGTCAAAAGAGAAGAGAAAAGGTTTCTGGCAATTACAGCCAAGGCTAAAAAAACGCCAATGTCATCTTAGAAGGGAGTGTATTTTTACAGTTCAGTTATCCTGAAATAGAGCTTAAAGAGTTGCAACAGAACCAAGACGAGCTTCTATTGGATACTAGCAGCTTTGATTTAATCTATCAGCAATCTGGACGTTGCCATGAGGATCATGATTTGCAAAGTCAGAAGATTACCCTGGAGATATGGAGCCTGCACAAAGCTTTTAGGTATTTCTATCTTCAGTCCCACTTCTCATCGCTTTTGTAAGTGAAACTGAAAAGGAAAAGCACCAAGGGGCCTGTCAGCCTTATTATGACGGGTTAAAAGTGCCTTGATGAGGTTCAAAAGAGGCCGCGGCCTCAGACAAAAGATGGGCCCCATCACCCATTCCTTTTCTGGTCTGTGTCTGGCCCAGAACAAAGAGCTTCCCCCCCGACCTCCAACCAGACCAATTGGTCTGGCCCTTGACTGACATGCATGGTCAAGCCTCCAGAGTGCAGAGGAAGGGGCCAAACCAACAAGCACCAAGGGGTGCTACTCAGGATGATTGACACAGCTGAGATAATCTCCCTCTGAAACACTGTGGAGTATTCTGCTCTCTTCAGAGGGGTTTTCGGTTGATGGTCTGTCTTTGTGTTTTTCTCTTTTCGCCCTGATATCCAGACTATCATCTCCTCTACCCCCCTCTGTCTTTCTCTAGCTTCTTTTTCTTTTTGAACCTCATCCGCTCTCCAACACACCTCTGACTGTATCTGCTCTGAGACAAAAGAAGTCTGAAAACACAGCTGCATCCACACATCACACCATCCCTATAAAGGTCTTTATTCTCACTAATTGCCCGTCTCAATACATTTTAGGGAACAAAACAAAAAAAGGTGAATCTGTGCATAACAGCATGAGTTTGTTGTTTTTATTTACTTATATATTTTCTGACACCTGTTCTGATGTACATTACACACTGTGTAACCTTGTGCATTCTCAGATGATTAATTTGCACATTCCTGCACACTGAAAGTATTTCTATTACTGTTTGTGATTTCAAGATCCTTGATTACACTTTTGCTGATTTGACTTGTGACACTACTTATTTGCCTGCTGACTGGAAACACTGTTTAGAAATCTATATGTGACTGTTTACTGTTGTGCACTAAAACATTAAGTCAGATTCCTTGTATGTGAAAACCTAGTTGGCGATAGAACTTTTCTAAATCTGATTCAGATTTGTTGTGAACAGTTGCAGCTCATACATGATATCTAAGACTTCAAGATCACAATTTTCTAATAATATTTTTTTAAAAAGAGCTGCAACTAAAAGCTTGTCTCATTAGCAATTAATCTGCCTTAATTGTGATGGAATATCTGTTATCATTTTAAGGTGAAGAAATTGAGATGGTGTCTCACATACCTTGTGTGTGTTTTTTTTAGTTCAGCAATCCAACTGAAGAGATTCAGTTTAACATCATGAATGAAAAAGAAAAGCAAGAGATTGTACGAGTCTGAGACGCCGCTAATGTTTTGCATTTCAGCTGACCTTTAACCCTCTTCCTCTGCAGGAACCCTGATGGAGACGTTCAGCCGTGGTGCTACATTGCCGATCACGAAGACGGGATCTACTGGAGATACTGTGACATCCCTACATGCCAGAGTAAGAGCTTGCCACTCCTTTATCGCTGTCTCTCGCTGCTCTTCCCCTCGGGGCCATATCATGGGCACATGGACCAGTCATTTTCATAGCTATGCTCATCTTCTCGCCTGCTATGAATAGCTTTTATGAACTGTATGGCTTGTACACAGCTATTATCATCTAAAAAATGTCTCTAATTGCCTCCCGTCACCCCTCCTCCTGCCATGTCTGGGCCTGCCCTTACTTTAATGCAAGATGTCAATCACTGCCTCGGCGTGTGTGTGTGTGCGTGTTTGCATGTGTGTTCATAAGTTTCCCCTTTGGCTTTGCAGCTTGTTTTGACACGCTTTTTTGATGTGACTGATTATGTGCATCTACCAGTTTGTAGATATATTTGTACATTTTGCTCACATGTGGGTGTGGGAGTTTTCCTGTCCTGTAATTCCTGGATGAATATGTGTGATGGACTGTTTACACTGGGAGATTTTCTGCTTCTGTGTGTCTTCTCTAACAGCTTGGCACATGCTTACAAAGAGCTGCCTGTCTTTAATCCCATTACTTTCATTCCCTCCACCTTTTTAATCACCTCTGTTGAGATCAGACTCAGGTGAATCAACCGACAGTGTTTGTGATGCCAGAGGAGGTTCAGATGTAATGATTTGCAGCATGCATGCAACTTTCACATGTGCTCATGTTGCTAATTATTTACTTAAGGTTATCGAAAGAGTTTCCATTTATTCGTCTCTTTGGCGTTTGCATGAAAGTGCAACGCACATTACGTTTGCATACTTTTAGGAACCAGAAGAATCTGACAATTTAACATAATGTGAAAGATAAAGAAAGAAAGTTAAAGCCAAGCAAAACCAAATTATTCAGTTTCTCTGGAATATATACTTACTTCACCTCTTTAATCATAAATAAAATTCAACTTTTTTACTTGACTAATCTCTCTTTTTTCCCTATTTGTCTCTGAGGTTACACATTCCTCTTCTGTCTTTGTCTATTTTATGGTGTTTCTTTTCCAAATACATACCTTTTTATCTTATCTGGTATCACAGCCTCAGATTTTTTACATTCCTTAATATTTCATGTGCATGTGGGATTTAGCTATCTGTTAGTGCTGTCACCTCACGGCAAGAAGGTTGTGGGTTCGAACCTGCTGGTCAGCTGTGGCCTTTCCGTGTGGGGTTTTTATCTTCTACCCGTGCATTCTCTGGCTTTTTTGTCCGGGTGCTCCAGCTTCTGAACAGGGACATGCGAGTTTGGTTGATTGGCGACTCGAAATTGCATGCGAGCGTGACTGTGACTGTGAATGGTTGTCTGTCTCTGTGTGTCAGCCTGGTGATTGACCCCGCCTCTCGCCCAGTATGAGCTTAGATCGCCTCCAGCCTTCCCACGTCCTTCAAAAAGGATAAGCGAGTATACATGGCTGGATGGATGGATGGATGGATGGATGGATGGAGGGATGGATGGATGGATGGATGGGCGGGTGGAATTTAGCTATAACACCGTACTTTTGAAATCAAAACAGATAAAAGCCACAGAAGAAGAAAAGTGCAGCATATGTTTCAGCCTGAGGTAAACGGGTTGATAACAGTAATCAGACAGTGCAGGGGCAAAGCTGAAACTTAAAGATGACTTTTCATAGCAATAGGTTCCACCAGGCCTCAAGAACCTCCCAGCCCCTCCGGCTATCCCACCATTATCCTGTCTGAGTTGCATGCTTGACTAAAGCCTGCTGTTTGAATGGCTCAGGACCCATTAGCCCATCTAATAATGCCTTTTGGCTGCATGGCCTGTGTGTATCTATGGATGTATCCATGGTATTTTTGCGTGATTATGTGTATAGGAGCTTGTGTGTATCCCATTAGACTTTTGACTGACCTACTTCAGACAACCGTCCATTTAGTGCAGTGTGTCAAGGCAGATATTCCAAACCTTTGTGTATTAGGAGGAAAGAGAAGAGCAGCCATCTCTGTTTGCAGCTGGGCTCATCCCTTATCTTTGGTAAAATTAGGCCAGCTTTTGTTCCAGCTTGGTTTGCCATGTGCTGGTTCAGCCTTGTTTTTGACATCCAGGGCTGGACTGTGTGTAACCCATCCTTGCAACATGTGTCCCAATTCTAACGGCTGAGAGCTTTGCCCATATCAAATACAGTCTTAGACGACCGTTGCTCTTTCTGTTTGTGCCGTAAAAGTTGGACAGAGACCTGTAACGTAAGAAAAGGAGATAAGGTTTGCTGTTAACAGGCATCCAATGTCATGAAAACATGCTGTTTCGGTGGAGACGGTTTCTCCCTGCAGGGATACCGGAGAGCTTTCAGACACGACTGCTCCGTCTCATCTGCTGTGAAACCACGATGGCCATGTGGTGGCTCACCTTCTACCTCGTTTACTGCCTGTTCTCAATCTGCTACGTTCGCAGGCTTCATCTGCCAAGTGAGAGAGTGCTGATGCTCTCTTAGTGTCGGTGTTCTCAGTCTGCGGCTGGCAACAATAGCCTGAAAAACACCGTGGTGTGCCAGAGAGAGGGCAACAGTGGTCTTTGTTTTCATTTTGTCTGGCTTTTTGTTTTGTCTGTGCTTTCGTTTTGTCTACTTTTTTTTTTTTTTTGCTTACGTTTGATGTCGCGTGGTTGGTAGTTGGTCACCACTCGCCAAGACACCTGCCACAGCCTGCCAACGGGTTCATCTGTTATCCAGCTGGGTTCCCTGTCATCTGGGGTCATGCCACCCTGGCGAGCGTGACACACCCTGGTGGAGCTCACACTCCCAGGCAGGTCACAAGAGGCCAGAAACACATAGTCTGACAGCGTGGATTACAGTGTAGGTCACTGCATTTGTTGATCCTAGTGTTCCCTCATGGCAGCAGTTATCATGTGGTGGAATTGTCTAAACATTTCAAAAAGGCACGCTGTCAGTGCACGTCGTCCACAGTGAGGCATGTCCTGCAGGATTGAGGCCCTTCTTATTTCCTGACCACTAAACGCTCAGCTTAGCATATCCTTGTCACAAGTGTCGTTATTTATTGACGTCCAGTTCTTGCAAAGTGGACCAGCCTCAACATTTTCACAGAACATTACAGATTATTTGAATTTCACTGAATGTCAAGATTTAGAAGTTATAGGGATGTTTTTTTTGAGTATTTTGGCTACTGTGAAATGTGCTGTTTCCCAGACTGTAGGTCAGAGCAGTGCTGATGCGTTCTCGTCAGCCCTTTGTGTGTCGGGCAGAGAAGCACTGATGCTGTCTGACTTCGGAATGAGGTGTATTATGTATGTAGTAAGGTGGAGGAGGAATGCACCAGTCAAACTTCTGGCGATATCACTGGGTTCACCAAAAGCAAACTGGAGCTGACAGCTAAATTTATTGGTTCAAAGTTAGCTGTTACCTGGGGGGCTCTCAAAAACCAAGCTTCATGTGCTGATGCCAGTTTCATGACACATTAGCTCAGTTTGAAAGTATATTTTACTCACTCGCCCTTGTTAAGATTTTGGAGAAACTCCAGTTAAAGTCAATGCTTGCACGTTGTTGTAAATTTCAAAGATGGCCCGGCTGCATGTTCCTGTTTTGTGATGTTCAGAAATTCTTGACCGTTGACAGCGTGATGGTTCCTTCCCCGGAGCGTTCCGTACTGGAAAGACATTTTGTTTTGGTGTGGCTCCTTCAGGCTGACATGCATTTGCTTGACGATTTGACTGACACAGAGTGAAACTGTCAGGGTGAAGTCCTCAAGCGTTTGCCAAGACAAAGTTGCTTTGATCTGCACATTGGGAGCTCATCTCTCAACAGCATATAACCAAGAAAAACTTGTTATGCCACTGTGCTTTCCTGCAGTAGAGAGAGATGTGTACCACTTTGTCTCCGTTTCTGTGCACTGTAGGACTTTTTTTTTTCTACCATAATAGCTGTGAATGCAATGTACAAAATTCCATCACAAAAAATAATGAGACACATTGAATTTAGGAACAATAGTGAGCAATAAACCTACTTAAATCCCACATTACGTTTTGCTAACATTGACCTTAAGTTGCACACAGTATGTTGTTTTTGTTTTTTTTTCATTACCAGAGTGTGTTACTGCACTTCTTCCCTATTCCAGACATCGCCACTATGACTGACAGTACCTGCTTTGTTGGGTAATGAGTCTTATTATCTGTCAGCCACAATTCCCATGAGCTTTGTGATATTTCAAGATGTTTCTTTGTTATAGAGCTGTCAATATGTTTGCACCTGAGCATTTAACCTACTTGATGTATGACTTGAATACCTCTCTTGCAGCAGGTTATACTTTCATCTGCTTGAACAATTGAGGGAATGTCTGATTAACCCTATCTGTCATCATATAACAATAGTCTCTACACTAGCAGCACCACATCCATCTGGCAAGCTAACCAGCCGCACCTTGAAGACATTAAAACAAAGTACTTGTGTGTTTGGAAAAGGGTTTTATTGCTGCACGTTGAAGAAAAATATGCAGTGATGAGATATTGCCTTCATTAAGACTGATTTATGACGCTGCTAAATGGCCCTTTGAAGTCGTGCGACACCTGAGTCAAGCTTGAAGTACTTTTGAATGGATGTGACCAGATATCTGTGTCCACATTGCTGTTTTTTTGGATGAAAGTCAGCTCTTGGGGGTCAGAGGTTTACAAGTATTCACAAGTCTTTTTGGAACTGACATACCTCAGTTGCTGTAAATGTCTATATTCCCCGCTCAAATACAAGCTGTTCAATTTTATGAAATGCAACCGTTTCATTGCAGTGTGGAGATTTTTTACTTGCAGGTATCGGTGTTGTAGAAGGTTTGCAATTTATGATCATCGTGTTCAAGTAATTAGTCGATTCAGCCATCCATCATCTATACACCACTTAATCCCCACAAGGGTCACAGGAGGGCTGGAGTCTATCCCAGCTGACTCAGGGTGAAGGCAGGTTCACCTGGACAGGTAACCAGTCTATCACAGGGCTACACTTAGAGACAGACAACCAAGCACACTCACATTCACACCTACGGACAATT